GGTTCAGCGCGTTTCATTTCATTAGTAAAGTCAAAGTAGTAAAGAACTTGGAAGGCTGAGCCATCGCGCAATCGATAGCACAAGTACAATTATAAAAGTAAATGCGCTGAGTCTGTGGGATTCAACCCCTGTACGGCAGCGTGACCCAAGCCCCTATTAATAAAACAATACACGGTATTTCACAGGTGTTCCTTCCCTTATTCTACCTATCCACTCGACAAGTACGCCTATCCAGTACTTACCAAGCTACTTTGATCCAATATTTGACGTACACTATACGAAGTGTTACAGTGAACTGTTCTGCGTAACATCGCCAGAGACGATTGTATACCGAAGATTTATCCGAGAATCGTTAAACACGAGAAAACATTGGAACTGTTGGCGGGCTCGCGGCCCGTACGTAAACCGACGCTTCTGGCACGTGATCAAGCTTGACGAGATGAGGGCGCGAACGGGGTAAGAAACAGATGTCGGGACACTCTCTTCGCTTGGGAATGTTTACGCTGCGAGGACTTTATATACGAGAGACATACGACGTACACGTGCACCGCGGCCCCTTTGTCGTGCCTGCAATTCGACGTTTAAACAAACTCCGCGAAAGTAGAGCTGCAGTGTTAATGACGCCGCGTCCCGTACAAAGAGATGACAAATCGCGACGATCACCGTGGCGTGTTGTGACGGCCGTCTGTGCGCTGTCTCTGGATGCAAAGGGTCTTAACTATCCGTGGGGGTTCGGAAATAATATCATAACCCGAAGGCATCGATGCAATCGAACCTGTCGCTGTGGACTTTTATGCAGAAGACCCTGTACAGTATCGAGTACTTCGAAGGCTGAGACAGGTAGTGTTTTTAAATCTACATCAAGACTGACAAAATGGAGAGATAGGTAACGGTACGAGGGTTGTAGGAATATGAGATCTTTGAACTTGGGATATTGGTGAAGTAGAGTAAAAGAACATTTCTTGCCACCAACCGAGTTGAATCATCTTTCGAAAGATAAGGAAACCGATTCAGATCGATAGAAACACGGATGGTTCCAGGTATCCGCGTGATGCATTCGTTTCACGTTCAATACGACTGACTGGGCGCAATTTAAAAACGACTCGAAATTCCTGGGACTCCTAAGATGCCATCCTTGGTGAAATTCCAGGGAACCAGCCAGAAATCAACAAGGTATGCCGGCCGCGTGACGCGCCATAACGCTTTAATTGTCGCCCAGTTATGTTAATACGCCGACAATTTCATCAGTGGCATGCGCGGACCTAATGGATCCGGGGATAATTGGAAAGGAGGGGTCACGGAGGTTCGTGGGAGGTAACGGACCGATGACAATGCCATAACGCAAGAGGGTTTTCGCGTAACGATTCTCCACCCTGGGCACGGTCTCCCGGCTCGTCCTGGACGTGTCGTCGACAATATGCACGCTCTCGTACAAGCGTACACGCTCCATCGCTCGACACGTACGTGCGCAAACGCGCCTCGACTTGGATGTTATTGTTACCAACATTTGATTCGGTTCGCATGTCAACGTTTGCACGTAATTACTCTAACATCGTTACTCATATCGGGTGGGGACGCAATGCAAGCTGCGGTGTACCAACTGCGAGCATTAGTCCTTTATCTGTTACCCGACCATGTTCTATCTATTTTTATTTTCGAGTAAATAATTTGCTTAATACTAAACCCACCGCCGTTCGTTTGAAACTATTTCTACCGTGGTAGGGCGAATGACTAATCTTAAAGACACTTTTTTCAATTAAATGCAAAAATATTGTACATGGAATTGAATTGAATAATGCATTAAATAATTGGATATAATTCACATATTGCATATTAGAAATATATACTAGAGTTTGAAAACGGTCATTTGACCGGTCGTGGTAGGTTTAGTGTTAATAGTAAATCAAGGGTTGAAAGTGCAACTTTTGTTTAGCTTCGAGGACGTAAAGAATTAGGAAACCGAGAATGAAGAATGTAATTAAAAACGCGAAAAGAAAAGAATTGAGTGGATTAAACCAGGCATTGAACGCATCATTCTCAAAATAAAGCCACACTGTTTTTCCCTCGTTCCCACGAGCGAACTGTACTCGATGATTCATGTAGCTGGGGTCCGCAGCTCTTTCTTAAGTGAAAACAGAAAAAAAACGGGAAGAACTTTGTACGAAGAAGTGCTCGGTTGCTTTTTTGGTCGGTGTATTCATAAGCTGTAATTGCTTTGTAAACTTCCTTTCCCAGTTTCCTACTTTGCCTTTAAACACAATAAGAAAGGGCAGGGAGATCAACCGAAGCGTGCGCCTACGTTTTACGCGTGGAAACGTTTTTTTATTTCCCTTGAGAAGAGAAATCACGGTTGGAAACTCTTTGCAATAATTTATTACCAAAGAAGGTGCAAGATCGATTAAATATAAGGGTACAGGTTTTCCAACCCTATCTTACACTCTTTAAGATTGGCGGCCGCTGATCCACCCAAAAACCATCAATTCAATACGCTTCTGAATCCAAAATCAAAGCGCTCGACATTTCCAGTGTAGCATTACAAACCTAGAATTCAATTTTACCCTCAGCTGAAAATCTCGGCAGTGCATGCATCCCGTGTTTCCCAAGCGATCACGCGGGGTCGTCCATGTTGAAGCGCGCACGCGAAGCGAACACGGCCGTGTCGCAACACCCGTCGTCGCGTGGCGTTGCACCAGGTTATCCACGGACCCGTGCATACACGCTCAAGAGTTCTCCTGGGGCACCGAATACGTGAAATCCGAACGCGTGTCCCCTCTCCGCGCGAGTGCGTGGACGCGCCTCTGTGTGCAGGCTGGCGCTACGCGTGCAGAGCTAGGCCCGCGCAGACCGCAATCCGACCGACGTACAACATGTTTATGTATCGCAGGCAACATTAACATTGCAATTTATGCGCGCTTTAACTGCCCCGCAGCCCTTCCAGTCGGCCCTCGTCCTCTCGACGAGCGGCTGGCCCGCTTAACACGACCGCGAATTTACCAACGCGGTTCGACGCACAAGTTCACTCACCGCAGGAGGGCCGATATCTCCCGTCCCCCAACTCTCGCGTCGCTCTAGCTTTCGACGATCCGTGACGCTATTTATATTTTCGTCGATCGCTGCTTATCGTTCCCACCCGCTTCTCTCGATCCGAGGAACTTGGGGCCCGAAATGGAACTTTGGTTTTAAGATCCTCTCTTCGGAGGATCTAGACATTTCTTGGCGATTTGGGTGTTTCTTTATGGTCTCGTATGAAAACTAGAAGGTGTTCCCAAAGTGGACCCTTAAGGTGACCAGAGTTTTCCATTTCTTATTATCCTAGGCCGGCATTTTGAGTGGTTGAAGTGTGGCAGTACACAATGGAAGTAATGATAAGGAGCTAAAGGGGCCTTTTGTTTCCCCTAGTAAAGTTAGCTAACTACTGTAATGAAAATGCCTTTTTTCTGTAAGTGACGCGTCATGTGTCACCGCAGACATACGTTTCTATTATCGAATCGAAAGTAACGTATACAGACGTGTCTTCTTTTCGCACATCCGCGAAGTTAGGAATAGCCCATGGGCGAATTTGTATGCGTTGGATGCACGGTCGTAGACATGCTCGGAGTTAAACTCGAGCAGGGAATGGATACGAGGGTTGTTCAGGGAGATTTGAGGTTTTAGGCGTGACGGAATCTATCGCTCGCAACCCCTTCTGAATTAGCGCTGCTTGTGCCGTGATTAACCAAAGAGGTGGGACTATATTGTGCAAATTTTCCATTTACCTTTCATACCTTTCGCAACTTCCGCTTCTAATCAAGTAAAAGTGTCACATGTAAGCGACAGTACACCTATGGATGTGCTGTCGAGGTGAAGCATATAAGAACTGTATACAAAAATTTGGAAACGAACATTTGACCGGTCGTGGTAGGTTTGGTGTTAATTTCCCTAAGAATCGAATTCCCGCGGGGATGATTACCGTGACCGGTGGTTGTCGTCATAGCCCTCTCGTCGCGATAAATTTCAATCCGGACTCCGGGTTCGCAAGAACGCCTCGCGTTCTACCGAGAATCGGTCGAGGAGGGGCAAAAACGCTTCCATGGTTCCCCGCCCAGTCCATTAAACATTCTGCCGCCTCGGTGGGGATTTATTTCTTTCTAAAACTGTTATGTATAACGGCGGTACATAGACTCCGAAACATGTAACCAGACCGAAACACCGACCTCCATCCATCTTTCGGAGGTTCGCGAGGGCTGTGGGGTGCAAAATACGTTCTCGCAGACGCGGGTTCGAGCTCGATTTCACGAACGAGTACCTGAAAGCCTTTCCCGGGCAGAACTCTTGGCGGATACTTTGCAAGTTTCTCGACCTGTTTACCTGACACGAGGGTGACTCGGGGCTGCCGAATACCCGTGGCCAATGGGATGGAAAGCAAGCGGAGCAGAAACCGAGCGGAGGACCGTGGTTTAATGCGTGGCAACATCGACGCGCTACAAGAACGGAGGGCAACGTGGATACCTCTCTGTTTTTATCGGCCGTCCCAAACGGGGCGAGAGCCTGTTACCGCCGCGAGAATTATGGTCTCGGATGTAAACACGTATTTCTACCTTGTACGAAACGGCTGGCCGCGATCTACCGGGCGCGCAGTCGACGTGGAACAGCGGGGGATCGATTTTCTGCCAGGGACGAACGACGCGCGCCGTCGACGACAACGTCCCCGACGAGCTTTATCGCGCCCAGGATTCGCCAAAGTTTCGCGGAGATTGACGGTTCGACGATCGCGATTAGTTCGTTTTTCCCAAACTCGGTGTCACGTCGTCAATTACGTCCGATCACCACTGGAAATACGACGCGGAAGAGAGAACGCCGGAATATTTGAATAGCGGCGAACTTACGACGCAGGTACACGACCTGTCCCTCTTCGAGGTCAACGTACTTTCGCAGGGTGGTAAAAGTTACCTTTGCCATGCGCAGGACGTTAACTGTAGACCCTCGATCATTTTAGCAGATGGACTGATCGAGATACTTACATATGTCTATAGATCGTCCTCCGGAGAAACAGAGGTTCAATAGGTAGAAGATGAGGCACGTCTGCAGGTAGTCCATGGTGGCGTCGATGGATGGTCCGCTAGCCACTGGTCATCGAACTCTCATAACCGCTTCTGCAAGAACACCAAAAGACAAACGTTACATTTACGCCAAAGAACCAAGAATTTATGCTATGTTCGAGAGAGCTATGTTTTAGGTCGTTGCAAGCGTTTCCTGTTCGTCATGTTTCCTAAGGACTTGTGTTCTCGCGACAAAACCGCTCTCAATGATAATTGACGCACCGTGGGCCCACACACAGCGACCAGAGAGACATTAATTTATGGGCCAGTGTCATCGAGACTAAGGGGCTGTTGGACGTTAAGCCTGTATGCAGGAGAACCGCATAAGGGTCACGGGCGTTTCACAAATTAGAAAAATGCCTTAAATATCGTCATTGATAAATTTCTGTCTCCGCGTACAGAATTAACACGTTGATTGCCACATGAATATTTCTGTACAGTTTGACAAGAATAAAATTTTGTTTGAAAACAATTGAAACCTACACAGTCTAACGTTTGTCTTAGTACTTATTTTTATAATGTTATCAAAATAAATGAATCCTAACCAGATTTATTTTCCTTAACATCGTCTCATAAAATTATGTTGTTTAGTTGCATGGTAAAAAAACCCTGTCACCCATATATGGGTGACGATGGCTATGAATGTGTTAAATGTTTCAGACAACCTTGGAAGGAGAATTCAAACTATACTACCAGTCTTGGTACCCGACGGTGATCATTCTTCGAGTACTACATAATTACTCGACGCACCTCGTGTAGATTTCCTTGCAAAGGAACGAAGACCTTCGACGACGCTTACCAAGCAGCAACAAGAAGACAAGATTGTAAAATCGCTCGAACGCTGGTAATTTCGTTGTCGGCTGGGAGAAAGCAATTAAACGTAAAGTTCCTTGGAAGAGCGCCCGCGACGGGGTACGGGGAACGAGGGCTAGGAGGAACAACGCAGAAAAACAGAGGCTGGAAACGGCCGTTTCGGGCTCCCCGTGCTTTTCGCCGGGGTGAAATGGCGCGGCTCTCGTACCGGACAGATATACGACCGGTACAGCAGCCGCGGACAAAGAGCTACATTCACGCCACCAGCCATTACGCGTCATTATCGAGATTAGGATCGGGAGTTCGGTCGGGAAGAAGCGAGACGACGACGAAGGGGCGAGAAAAAGAGCGTGCGTACTGTCGAAAGATAAACCGGAGCGAGAAGGAAGAACGCGGCGGAGAACGCCGCGGGGACCTTCGCTTGGTTGTTCTTCTCTTCAACGAGGGGGCGAACTCGTGTGTAGCGGATGCTGATGGCGCAGAAGAGGGTGGGCCCGCGCTGCCAAGCTAGAGGGACGAGGACTGGTACTTTATTCACCGTGGTGCCGTCGCGGCGCGTACCAGAGAAAAAAGCAAGGAGGGTTCCCGCCGGAGAGACCATAGGCGAGCCTTCACTTTTTGGCTAATTAACGGGAGTTTCTTCGACTACCGACTACTTTGCGATGCTTATCTGGCCAAGTTTAGGGCCTCCCCCTCGCGGCTGGCTCGTTATTCAACGGCCTGTGAAAAAATACCCGGCCCGATGACGCGTTTCTTTGCCCGGTTCAGTTTCTATCGGGTAGCCATCGCGAATAACGCGCTCCGAAGCGACACGAATTCCACGGGCGCGACCTTCCTTTTCGGTATTCGGGGATTTTAATGAAGTTGTCGGAGATCTGGTGGACGATCGCCTTCGGTGGATCGTCTTGGGACTGAGAAATACCTCTGTAGAGGATTAGGAAAAAGGTAACGTTGCAGGACCGTAACAAGGCGAGGACAAGAGATGTTCATCGAAGGAGGACACCCCATGTCAATTAATTGATACGGTTGCATTACTCATGAATTATCCACGTACCATAGCAACTCCAACGGAATGATGAAAATCAAAGTAAATCCACCCTTTAGCTATCACATGCCAATACAATCATATAGTACACGCCGTTTATCTTTAGGATTACAATACCAGACTATTAACTAAGTGTGGAATATAATCTCCAAGATTTCCAATCAAGCAAAACAAACTCTAAGAACCATCGATCGCGTCCACCTGCAATGGCGCGGTAACCCTTTGAACGGTAAATTGGAAATTCCATCAAGAGTCGGTGAACGGTTGCGCGACAGCTTCATAGAGGCGCATAATCGATTAAGTGGCTGAATCGGATTATCCGACCGGCAATTAAGATACCATTCAGCATGAAGCGGTTACGTCGGTACCGGTGTCGAGGGATAGCACGATCACAATGCAGAGGATCGATTAGTCGACGCAGTAATTGAGGTCATAGGGTGCATCCGAGCTCGAGTTACTCGAGTCGGAGCAAGCGGACCGTGTCGGAGACGTACACTCGTTCCAGGACCGCTTGAATTCATCCCGACGCGCTATTAATCATTGGTCACGGGCGCAGGATCTATTAGAGCCGTTCGCGGTTAACGTAGCGTTAGATTTCCCCCGCGTAATATCGACCGTGTCTGATTACGAACGTCAAACAGATTCGGCGGTCGTTAGGGAAAGACGTTCAATTGGAGGAAAAGTTCTTTTCCGAGACATTTCTCTCGTGGTTATTTCGAGCTCCTGTAATTTAGCGGGAAAATAACGCGACACCGAGAATTCCACGGGAAGTCCTAACTGCACCCGTATAAATTTCGATCGTTGGATCTATATCTAGCCCGATCGAGCCCCGTTGGGGGTGAGTTTATAGTTGCTAGTTGAAACGGCACGGTTTGCGCTATTTCCAGCATTGGCGCCGACGTAACGTCTCCTGTAAATCTCCGCGCGATACCGGCCCTGAGAACGAAGAAATCACGTGGATTTAGTGGCCCGTTTGTTCCGAGTTCGTACGATACGCACACTGCCATCTTTCATCCGCTGAAACACCACCTTCGGCCGTCGACTTTTACCGCGAGTTGCTACATAAAGTGCTCTTGTACATACTCTGGACGCTCGATTTCCACGGTATTCGCCTTCTGTCTTTCTCATCCGACGTGTTCGACATTCTTGCGCGAGGAGTAATTCTTATTAATAAAGACTCGAAATGAATCCTCGTTTAAGGGCAAGGGTATGGAAATAATTGTATTTGCAGGTAGAATTACATCATTCCCAATGAACGAATAAAATGCAGTGAAAAATTGTTAAAATTGGAGATGGATGTACTTAATCTTTATCAAGGTGTAAGTGTTTTACACGTGCAAGTTAATCCCTATTAACTCGAATGCAATTAAACCGAAACACCTTGTTTCGCGACGGAGAACGTTTGCACGGTCGTTCCACGGAAAAGCAGCGATTTTCTTGGACAGATACGCTCCCGTAATGGAAGCCACGAGGGTAGAGAAAGCACAGCACTTGCGTACAGGCATATAAACGAGGGAACACGGTTTCATCCCCACGCTACCGACGTTTCTGGATCGTTAACCGAGGCTCGTCGAGAAACTCTCGAGCGCAGGCGAAAAATTTGTATCCAAACTAGTTTGCCTCCACCCTCGAGTAGCTTCGCTGCCCGCAAAAAATATAATGCGAGCTGCCATCGATAAATCCTCGAACGTCGGATTAGGAGCCGCAAGTTTTTACAATAATTCCCCGAAGCGAGTTTAAAAATCAACGATCAACGAGCCTCGCGATGAACGCCGCGAATATTACCCGAACTATAGCGAGGAACGGTTTTCAACCTGAAAATACTTTGCGTTGAACTGTGCGCTTTTACGATGGTAACTTTCGCGAAATGTAATTATTTCTTTAGGCTCAGAGAAATATATTTGGAAAGCTTCCTTCTTGCCCTCAGGGGCTGTAGAATGCGCGTCCGCAGCTACAGTACGGGGTCAGCGATCCCGAGGTACCCGAGCTATAGGTGGTAAGTGCAGACATGTAAATGAATGTAGCGTAAGAAGTCAAGGATTTAAATCAATGTAAATGTGATATGGAAGGAAACACATATGTGTAAGAGACTGATGATTTGTGACAAGCTAGACTGGACCAATAAGTGCTATAATCAATGTAAACCGGATACCACCCTTACAATATAAAAAACAAACAAATTCAATATTCTATATTCGATAAACCTAACATTTTGAAGGAATCATTTGGAATATTATCCTCGGCGAAAGTTTTCGCGCGACTAACAATTCCCAGATCGTTATGCTCGGCTCGTGAAACGAAGCACTCGAATTCGGTCGAGAAAACACGCGGCGGGCGACGGCGTTTCCCAGTTTTCGCAGCGGGAAAACGCGCGAACCACGGGCTGGAGGGATTTACGACGCCGCTGGAAAGAATTAGTCGCGCGTGGCGCTCTTTGAACGGGCGTTTCCATCGTGCGGTCGCATAAATTTGCGCGTGAATTCGCGGAAAGGCGAGATTCGCGAGCGCCTGCGCGCGTTGTGCTCCTCTCGAGTGGCCAGGCAAATTAAAACTCGACGAAGTCGTCCTCGCGTAATTGCCGGGGCGCGCCGCGACTTATTTTCGTAGACCCTCTCGTGACGGCCGTGGTGACGCCGACGCCGACGACGACGGGAGAATTCGCGACGCGGGTGGGTCCCCGCGCCGTCGCACAGCGTGATGTTTCGCGAATCCTTTATTCCAAAGGGAAAAAATTCCTGCCGAGTTGGTATACATTCTTAACGCATGGTTTTGTGAATTTTCATTAGAATTATTCATGGGAAGAATTTTAGGAGTGTTTGATGTGATATTGGATCATTGACATTGCAATTTAAAAACTAATAATAGGCAAATATTCATTTTTAGATAATTTAATGTAAGATTCTTCATAGGAAAGGAACTACACCGGGAATTAATTTGGTGACTGGCAGTAATTGAGATGCAAATTCAAAATCCTGTTGGAATTCTTTTGTTACTCTCGCTCTGTACACTAATCTGTTTTAGGCCAGAAAAAAAATTAACTCTTTCCGTGAAACGTACAAGAACAGAATGACTCTTCCTACTGCGCACCCTAAAGGACTCTCACCCCACGAATATACAAACGCACACGGCTACGGTCAACACTCAGCCACTCCGACGTACGCACACATCCCTCGAAACTTTGCTCCCAGCCATTTCG